ATCCTCAAATTCTTAATCCCTTTTGTACTGAGTGTCTAATATCTATGGGTATTGTCGATTACTTAGCATCTAGTAATCCGCCTTCTAGTTTACTGACCAGATAAATCTTAATTTAACACTGTTCCTAGAATCGCAAAAAAACACAAATAGCACACAATAAAAGAAAAACCATCTCCAATTCAAACACTAAATAAGAAGCCGCAACAATCTTGGCAGAGAACCTCACAAACACGTCAATCCACCATTACGACATGCCATCAGTCAGCGCTTGGCTCCACAAATGCACCTGTTAACCCTGCCTCAGAATCCCATAAACCCCATAGATTCCCACGAGGTCGGCGCATCGATAATAGTGGTCACGCCAAATGACAGGCCGCGTCGTCTTTCACACGATACAAATAACATGTCTACTGGAACACCGACTCACTATCGTATAACTTACGGTATGGGTGTCATTATGGGGACTTTTATATCATTTTTAGGATTATTGAAGGCTAAAGATATGTAGAAAGTGTAGTGCAATTAAAATTACTTGTTAATAATATTCTTAGCGTTATAAGCGCACGTATGTTGTGGAGTCTTTTTTTTTAAGGGAGGAAAATCATCGAATGACTGCTCCCGCCTGGGTAAGGCGGAAGGGAGTGTCAGACTCTTACTGACTAAAAACCACCCAGTTCCTTCTCCTGCACGTTGAGTCGGAGCCCCGGTTACCCGTTAGGTTCTCCGCGACATGTTGTGGAGTCTAGATCGTTTATATACTTCAGTTAGACGAACACTTGAAATGTTTATAGCATAATGCACACGGATTTGTCACAATTTATTGCAATTCACACCATTGCCCGCAGTGGCATTTAAAGTTCAAAGTTTTTGTGTGCGTTAATTCACTGATTAACTCATCTCCGCGTAACAATCTATAAATCAGTTGGATAATATAATGTGTACGCAGATAATCTCGACCCATACAAAAACATCTGTATTACGAGTAATGGAACCTATAAAACCGATATTTTTGATTTAAAGTGCGACCGTTAGCGCGGAAATTGGTCCTGCGCTGTTAGATTTAATGTCTATAAGAGCGCGCATATTCAGTATTTAATGGACTTCACCACGATGCCGATGTTCCATGCTATAGACGATTTCTGGAAATGATTCTAAAGATTGTAATATCGCCATGTTTCAGAGCAACGATTTACGATATAATTATATAGATGCAATGAAATGAAATATTTAAAGAAGTGCGCCCATCTTCACTCGTGGACTCTTTGACGAGTGTTTAACTGTCGCCCGCCGCGCCGTTCAATACACTCCAGCTACTGTACTCGCCGCAGTGTCAATGAAACGATGTCCATTAAAACGACAAGATTGACATATATAAATTGAATTTTATTAAAAACACAGAATGGGTACTATGTTTAAATTAACCAGTCATAATAAAACAAATCACATAGTCATATATGTATGTTTAAATTTAAATCCGGCTATATTCGAATATAAATCAAAATAAAATCGGTTTAAATATAGCGAAGGTTTTAATCATCGAAATATGAAGCGATTAATATGCTAATTGCATTTCCAGATTGTAACCGAGATATATGATTGGAGACGCACTGACATCGGTGACAGCTATTTCGACTGCGAACCTTTCGCGACTTGAAACTTGTCATGAGCATTCAATTTATTTGCTTGAGTAAACCCCAAATCATTACAAAGTAAAATCGACTTTAGAATACGCAGTTACAGTTGATAATTCATTGTGTTATGTTATCTGGAGAGTGCCCTAAAAAGATGAATGCAAGCGAGAAATTAATTAAGTCATGTAGTAAGGGAATCGATCTGTTGCTTCGAGTTACGGACGCGTATATCGAGATTACTCGGAGCGTGTGCGCCGGCGCTCGATTTTTGCATAATATTTTAGGTCATTGACCTTGACGTATGACCAATGACAAAGTTTTAATAAGCTAACATCCCTTCATTGAATATTATGTGACGCAACATTTTCGATAGACAACTGGCCGTTTATACTTGTTCTTTTTTTAAATAATTATTCTAAAGTGATACAACCTTTGTGGTTGCGGTTGATTGGACCAATTATGTGTGATTACGAGTGATTATTAAAATCGATCCCTATAAATGTGTGTAGGCTGTGACATCACTGTGTTATGTGATCTTGATATCCATCAAAACAGTCTCTCAAATCAAGATATTTTATTTAAATTTTCCGAAAAAGAAATCATTACTCAAGTTGATTGTTATTGTGACTACTTAGCAAGAGGTTTTAGTTCGATTTCAAGATTTTATGATTTTTAAATTACTTCCTTATCTCATTCCATATTATATAAGACTCATAAGATGACATGCGTAGTACTAATTTTTCAACTGTAATTTAATAATAATCAATACAATTTTATAAAGTAGGTACATATTGTAAAAGTCCTTTCGTCAACTAACATTCAAGAACAATGTATATAGTAGTGACCCCTGAAATCGTGTTCTAATTTGGAGGTGCGCACGAGTGGACCGATAGGCGTCGCGTCGCGTCGCGGCGCGCGCGGCGATCGCATGCTGCGTGATTTACTTTATGTTGACGTTGCCTTAGAACAGAGAAAGTGTAGAAACTTTAATTATACAAATTTTGTGGTTTATTTATATGAAAATTATAATGAAATAGATTAGGTAGTGGGATCAGGTTGTTGTATTAATTTTGATGGTTTGTTTGGTTTTGATAGTAGTAAAAAGGTTATAGGAGATTGTTTTAAATATTTACAAATATTAAGTGATAATATTGTTTATTGTCAAATATCTTCCGATACAGTACGTTCTTTAAGGTGATGATACTTGAAAAAAACCAATCATGACTCATACATATGACATACTCACCCTCACAAACACACACAAATATATAAAAGCAACATTACACTAACTTTAACTTCAAAAATGTTTCACCGATACAAAGTTTCCAATGTTTCAAGTATCCAGTGTCGTGTACCCTGCGCGTACGCATCCACCTGCATCTCTGCCGATCCCCGCGCGCTAGATAAACGGATTACTACGTAGCAACTAGCCTTTTGTTCGTTTTGTCTCCGATTCGAATCTCGGGAATTTTCACAAAGTTTATTCCTATGTTCCTATGTCTGCGGATAAATCTTCAAACTGTCTCCTACGTTAGCAATTGTGTGGGAAATTTGTTTTTAGGGGAAATCTTTGTTTAATGTGTTTTTGCTTTATGTATATTTATTGGTTTGTAGTTTTTTGTGTAAATTATTGTCGTCGTAAACTTTACTGCAATTATGGCAGGCATCTAAGGTGGGAACTACACAATTATCGTGTCATCTCACTCATCTTTGTCATTACAAAATAAAAATACTAATTAATTTACTCTTCTGATTGATCCTGTAACATTCTCAACACACCGGTATCCCAAAAGTTCCCACGTGTACAGTTAGGCGCCTTGTAACAAATACTTGTAATTACTTTAAACGAGTTCACCCGAAATACTTGTACTTACATTCTTTTACACAGCAGTACATTATCCTTGATACTATCAGTCTGACGTACGGCGCTTATTGCAACTCTACTTAGTATTGCAGGATAATTTTGTAAAGTATTCCTTATGTTTATGAAACTTAAGCAGCTACTAGGATAAAATAGAGTAGATATATCTTTAATGCATTTGAACCTATGATGATCAGTAAGTGATTAACTGTAGGTAAACGTGGAGTAAGTCAAAGTCAGTGCCGATCATTAATATTGTCTTTCATGAATTGAAAAGCGTCAAGAAAACATAATAACCAACTAGATTATTCTAAAAATTACTACAAAGTATAAAGCCTTTCTCACAGAAATAATAAGACATTAAAGTCCACTTTAGCACACATAACTTTCTTTAAGTTGCTTTATAATGTTTATAAATAAATGGATTCTGAATACCACATTATTTCGGCTTGAGCAAGGATCTCCGTCAGGAACCAAGATCCTTATATCGAAGTGACGCAGTGGCCAGGCCAACATGACTGCCGTCAGCTCGTAACTTCTCCTTTTACCTCGCTTCGAACATATTTCCTCAGTTAATCGCATAATTTTCTTAATAACAGACGATTTTGTCAATTTACAATGGACATTACATTATATTACGAGCTTAAAAGTGTAAAAACCGTCGAAATAACCATTAAAATGTGATACTGTCATTATAATAACTCACCCGCTGACAGAAAAGGTACTACTTACGACTTTATTGTTATTTCTATAAGGAGCAAACGTCGTTTTGTAAAAAAATAAGTTCGATTTAATTAAAATTGTTCATTTATGCGTAATAAAGTTTATTCACTCTGAATTTTATGCAAATGTATCGGGTTTTTATGTTTTATTTGCAAACGTGTGAGCGATGCCGACGGACAGATGCCTACTCATAAACTTCGCGATCTGCTTACCTCAAAAGGCAAAGAAAACACCAGCGATGACACATAACACGATCGTAAAAAAGACATTCGGCCAGTCGCACAGATAAAAAATAATTTAATGTGTCAAAGAAAAAAAATGTAATAAAAACTTGTTGCTGTTGAAAACCGAGTAAAATTTGAAATATAGAACGCGTAGAAGGCGACACGTAACGCATTTGAAATAATATCGCAACAATTAATATCGTTTAATCGATACATACAAAACGATTTTATCGCATATGCAACCAATAACATGCCCCATGCTCTTCGAAATTAACAACTAAATGACTGATTGGAAAATGGCCGATCTCGGTCATGGCATATTAACAGTGAATTGGGTTTCTGTGGCGGATTTTCAGTTTCATATTCGTTTATGTCGAGCGATAAGAGCAACAATATTGGTTAGTTTGTGCGCGCCGCGAGTGAATTTTTTAAATGCTTTTTCTTTACTTTGTAGTGATCACATTTTTGATATATTTTCTTCTAATTCGTATTATATATTTCTATTTTACATGTTATATATTTTTGAATTAATTTTAATAATAATTGTTTTTATTTTTCCAGATGAACCAAAAGTGCAAAGTATGTGGAGAACCAGCGGCCGGGTTCCATTTCGGCGCATTCACTTGTGAAGGATGCAAGGTAAATATATGAACTTTATAATTATATCCAATCCATTTCATATTAGATAATGAATTAATACCAAAGCTAGTATCATTAACATGTAATTTACATAACACGACATCACATGTTACTTTCTAAGGGGTTGTCTGTACCTATTTAAAAAAGAGCTATAGTTCCTTTTATTAATTATTTACACAACTTCACAAGCACCAAAACAGGGGATTTAGAAATAGGAAAAAACAAAACAGTAGTTGGTAACTATACTTTAAATAGTGACAAAAACAATATCAGTCCAATAAAAATGCTTCATTTTCAAATACTTTTTAATTCTTCGAGAGCTTTGTAACATTGTATCTACAACTGCTTTTACACAAAATGTTATTCCTCTTAAGACTCGGTACAAACGGTGAAGTAATTAAAAATCTGTGTAATTATTAATTAACAAACACATAATTCGTAAACTCGGCTACCTGTGCGATTCGTTCTAATTATTAGGAAACGAAAACAGAAAATCGGAAATGTAAATTTCTATAATCGTATCAAGGACTATTAGCTGATGTAAACGAGCGGTTTTAAAACGCTAATTCTCTTTTTAATTAGTATCAAAGTAAACTTACAAAACAATATTATTTATTAGAAAAAACCATATAAAATTATCCTTTTCTTCTTCTGTACATAAACCAAGTATACCAAATAAAGATAAGCTCCATGCTCTTTGAGACGTAGCAATAAACTCATACTAATTTCAATCCCTCATCCATGAAATTCAATCACATCAAGACACTTACATCACCTGGGTAAAGTACAAATCAACCTCAATCAAGGCACCCGACCTGACCAGAAACCAATTATAACAATACCAAAGGTCCTCAACCTTCCATCTTTAATAAACATGAACACATAATTAAAACTTCTCGTCTGCTATAAATGGCGATTTATAAACTTTGCGTGACTTCATTAAAATAACGATAAATCGATTGACACCTTATTCGAATATAATTAGTACGGCCAAGTGAATCGATATGGAACATCCGATTAACGTCCCAATCTAAATCCGTCGCCATCTTAAAAAAATGTAGCTTGTTCTGATTGGTTTTGAATTGGACTAGAATAAAAATTTAATGCAAATTTGAATTGAGAGAAAAATATCGCGTTTCAGCCGCCACATTCGGAAAACGCAACTATGAAAAAACACATTCCGTGATCGATTATTAATATCGATAATTACTTTAATTCCTATTCTAACTCGTTCCATCCTTAGCCCGAACAATGTAAATACATTTATATTTACCGATTTTGGACTTTATGCTCTTGTGAATAGTGTCTTGTTAGAATGCAGATCCATGTGGCTCCGTGTAGATATCGCCAATGTCCGGGAGATGCACCCCGATAATTCGATCTACACGCATAATCATCCGTTATATTTTTTATTAATGATGCGTATTGATTCGAGTCAAATTTCGGTAGAAATCGAGTGGCGCACAGCACTATGTCTTCCGTAAATAGCAGTTGATTTAATTATTATGTATTTACTATACTATATCTATAGGGCAGTCTTAGACTTCTATAAATATTCTTGATTATTCCTAGCCAATCTAGGCTAACAAATCCGATATTTCATATTTAATATTCCATGATTTCATGCAACTAGAACTGCGAACCAAACCCATGCTTGGCAGTTGCAATTGAAAGCGCTAAACAAGTCCACCGAGGTAATATTTAATTCCGACCGTGTAAATCAATATATCGCTTTATTTCAATCGCACTGTTTTATATAAGACCTGTTAAACATAATGCTGTTAGCAAATACCGTTTAGTTAGAACAAAATATCGTTTACCAATCGATCCTATGTAATGCTACATTTGTTCTAACAAGGGCACCGTACTAAGCCCACTAGTCCGTACAAACGACAATTTCCTTCTTGCTCAAGCGCAATTTGTATGAATGCAAGTGGAACTGAACGACAATGGGTTGTGCAAGGGTGGAAACTGTCTCAGGATGTCTCGCGCGGTCACCTCGCGCCACAATGCCCACCAAGGTTACGTAACCAACCAGTTTTTGGGTTAATAAAGTAGGTTGTCCAAAGGAAAGGTTATCGACAATCAAATTAAGTATCTTCACTAAATAACAAATTGGTTTCGAAAAATACAGCTCACAATGAGCTCATATACCTTAGACATATCTAAATGCTAGACATTAACATCTCAATAAATAATAATTATTTATAAATAAATAACCAGTATAACATGATCTCACCAGATGCCACCGCGCACAACCAAAGTATTTTTATTAATCCTTAATTTATTCAATAAAATATCAAAGTCATTAAAAGTTAAAAAGCAGTACAACTATTCAATTAAAACATAAAAAGACTTATTTTATCCCATGAGCTCAGTGGCGGGGATCGTTAGCGGGCGGTCGTCAATTTGTCTCGTGTCGTGTAATTAAATGTGGCGTGCGCCTGCGCACCCGTTTGTATGTAAATACGTCGCACGCGACTCGAACCCACGGACTGGACGGCTGATTGTTTGTTGCTTGATGGATTTATTTTTTATACGACGCGGTTTTACGGCGGTAGGTTGTTGCAATCGTTTTAAATAGTGGAAGTCTCTCGCATTACGTAATAGTTATTATTACCTGATAAATACCAGGAAAATTGTCGGAAAAGATGTAAATTAATTTAGCACAGTGTTCATGCATCGTCAGGGAATTGTTTCATGTGCAAAAATTATCAAAAAAATAAGACGACGTATTGATTATGTCACACCGTTTACATTTCATATCGTTCACAGGCATTTGATTTTTTTAATCATTACTGTATTTTTTATTAATTAATTTTACTAACTGTGACCTAAGACCTGAGATAAGAATCCATCTAATTTTCAGCAGCCACAGATTTAAATTTCACGATACCGTCTTAACCTAGATCTATAAGTTGCGTAGTATTTTCAAAATGGATTCTAACAAATCAGTTTCGATATTTCGTCGGCTATTTTCCGGCTTGTGAACTTAAGTAGCGGTTTGGCAACGTTGCTTGGTGCACCATAAACCTTTTGGTTACCATAGATGGTTATCCGCTGGTTGGTGGGTAATGGGCCGTGGTTATTTAGGTTACAATGAATTGTTGAGGTTTGTTTTCGGTTTTTCGGTGATTAAGATATATTGGTGTTGTTTGTGGGGGATACAATGATATTGAGCCTATAATAAGGTTGTTTTGGAGGTGTATTGTTTTATATTATAAATTTAATTTCTGTCATTCAGGTCTGTAATTGTTTTTATTTTTCATACTTTATCCACCAATAGCGTAGTACGTAGACCATTAGCTTGGTATTAGAAAAATACATAGTCTAAGTTCAACGAAAAATATGGTCTACGTACAACGATTTCCAAGTGGTTGCTTGACTCATTACTGAAAGATACAATAATTGCCAGCTCTACGAGAAAACCCAACAAAAAAGGCAAACTATTCAACTTTATGAGTAAGAATTGCACGAAGGTCATTAAACAGACCCTTAAAATATCCTTCACCTCACGCCCGAGACCTCTGCTGACCTCACTAAGCAACAACCGTAATGATAACGTACAGAGCATCCAAGAGTTACGCAATAATTGGAGCAAAGCCGCTAAGCCGGGTTCACACGTTTTTGCCGAAGACAGGCGATCAACATCAATCACCGCTGCCATTAGCTGGCCGTCTGTACCCGCCGCTACTCGTAACTATACTCTTGATATCTTTTTTAGTTCACCTTCTGTCCTTTGATGGTGTCCACCGATTAGACGGACGCTGTTTTAGTAAGGCACAGATTAATTTGATGTCACTGTACAATTTAGTGGCAAAGGAATTTTGCAACTGTAGACTTTTATGGTTCCATCAATCAATATTGACATCCTTCCTAACTGTTATCTTCACACTACCGTTTTCTCTACGATACATAACATATAATAATACAAACATACAATCCATCACAGGTTAAATATAATTGTGAGATCACCAAACGAGCCTGTCAAATGTTCATCCAATAAATGTTCTAATTCGCACGGCCGTCCGTCATCGCGGCGAAACGAATTATTTTCAGATTTGGAGCAGATTTAAATTGCAGTACGGCACGCGATCGGGAAACACTGGCGGAAAAGATATTTGACGGTTAGGACGTGTGTACGGCAGTGGCCGGCAGTGGCCGGCTGATGTAATACGAAATTATGATGGTTATTATCGCATTGTTTTCATTATTTCGTTGAGTAAATTCTGGAGATGTATCTTAAATGGGGGAATTAAAGAATAAACATAGAAAATATTTACAAGTTATATTTATTTCAGAGATGTCCTGGAAATCTTTTATTAGGGCTCTGTTGTTGAATTCCTGAATATCCTAAAAATACAAATACAAAAAAAACAGCCTCAACTTCTTCAAAATTCGTCAATCTACACACACCCTAAACGGCCGCTCAGTTACATTTCGTAAGCGGTTCAGTAATAAATCATCGCTTCTAATTTGCTTTTAAAGGTTTTTCTAGAATTATCTGTGTGTGTAATCGCATTGTACGGAGACAATTGCCCTCTCGCCACGAACCTCGCCATGAAAGGAACCGCACTCGTAATTTGTCAACGAGAAACCTTAACGTGAAAAGAATAAACCTTAATAGCCTCCTCAGCTAATTAATCGGACTATTTTAATTGGCTTTAACGCTACTTTAATCTATATATTTAACGATAATGACCTATATTGAGTTAATTAGTTTTCAATTAGATGTTCAAGTAAGTGCCAGTAAGGCTTTAATTAGTTTCGGAGCGGGATCTGTGAAAAATGTACCTATTCCTTGATTTTATGACTTTTTATGTACGGAAATTGCATGAAATTAATGTTAATCGGTACTTGTTGTGTGCTCATTTACGTATATAAGAATCCTGGGCTTATTATAGCCTTACATAACTGAGATTACAGTTTCCATTTGCGTCTCTCTTAACATTTTCAATATTTGTGCTGCGCATAACCTTGTCCCAACAAGATGTCAATTA